AAATATCATGGACAGATAGATCAATATAACTCTAGTGCTAAATCAAAACATGCGGTTCTCTTGTTAACTCTATTTTCTACTGTCAGAACTTGTCATTTTGACCAAGGTGAAAAAATTTTATAACCGCCGTTGAGCAGCCGACCTAATTCTGTTTTTATGACTGCCAATGTTCAATTTCGTGGACTTGTCTTTTTGATCCTAATCCAGAAAACAAGGGAACTCCTGAATCAAGTATTGGGAGAAATTTGCTTTCGTGGCGGACTTTTTGATGGAACTAACCTGCATTTGCATTGCACGGAGAGGAAAACCTCGCATGGTTAGCTTGATGATAAGGGGACTCTAACCCATGATCACATACCACTGAGGATACTTTTTGCCAGCTCGCAACCGGTATGACCCGGGTGTGAAATTTGTATCAACCATCCATTTGCTGGGATTGGAACCTATTAAGAGGCGAATGCTCTATTCCCTGAGCCACCACAGCTCTAGGTGAAAATGTTTGTAGTTATTTCCAGTAATTCGGTAAAGATTGGGTGTTTAATCAGATTGCATACCAAGTTTTCTGAACCCCCCTCTGAAATATTGCCAATCGTTCAAATGCAGCTTTATCACTCTAATTTTTAACTCTTGCAACTTCAAACATAAATTTTGACCAAAAACTTGCCTTTTGAAACAAGGTGAATTCATTTCCAGTTATGCTGTACAGACTGTATTTAACCGGTTTGTGCATTGTGTCTTCGAAGTCCACTCTGAAATAGAGCCGATAGCTCAAGTGCACAACTTAAGTAATCATCCAGCAGTATCAAGAATAAGAATTAATTTTTGAGACCCAGGGATCTGTCCAGGGCAAATTTACTACCGTTTAGCAGTACCTTCACAAATTCAACTTGCAGTAGTTTCACAAAATACTTTTAAAAAAGAAGATTCTCCTCCTCGCCTCTTAAAATTTTGTTTTTGTATTCCCCTAAGAAACGATAAATACCGGGTTAATTCCGCATGTACAAATAGGTAGCACGTTCTTGAGCAGATAGTACAGTATAGTAAGCCTATTATAGTATAATTATAGCGAGATTTTTTAAAAATTAAGCAACAAGACGCTCCCTCTGTAAATTTTACAGGAAGTTGAACTTTCAACATTATTCTAAACATTCGAACATTGCTCTAAATTTATTCTAACAGACCTTCATTTTTTTATGAAACATTTTTTTCTCCGTGAAACTTTTTTCTATATGACCCCATGAAAAATGTTCTCATAATAATAATAACTTGAAGTGCAAGTACTGTTAAATGCATGTCTTTTTTAAAAAAATTCAAGTTGAAATTTAACAATGGACAATGACTTTTATGGATTTTTAAATTCGGATACAATTTTAAGCCAAAAATTTTACAATAGCAAAATTTGGGGAAAAATTTATAGGTATTTACCTGTCATAAATACTTTTTTTTTGTAGTAACAATTTTTGAAAATATCTTCTTACTTTACCATATTTTTGTGTTGATTTTTTAACATAATTTTTAATTTTTGCAAATTATGTCTAAATTTTCACAAAATAGGTACCTCTCATAAAAACCTAGACTGACCCCTGAAAGAGTTAAAGCAATAAAATAGCTGAAAAAAATACAAAAGCAAATTATTTTTTTTCTTCTTCAGAATTATATTCTAAAGATATTTCTCGTGTTCATCGAAAAGGAAAGAAATACTCCTGATTTTCTGTTCTCCTTTCGGAATTAAAAAAAATCGCCAAAATTTAAATTGATAAAATAAAAATAAATAAATAATAACAAAAATTCTGAAATCACAGAAGTTAAACAGATAATTCCTTCTAGAAATGATGTTTTTTCTTTCTTTTTTTGAAAGAACACCATAATTTTTAAAGAACAGGATAAAAACATTTTATATTTTAATAAAATATGACTGTGAGTTGGGATTTTGTTACAAATTCAAATATTCGGAACACCATGAAATGGGGGGGGGGATAAATTTTATTTCAAAAATTGCGACCTAAATCCATGACTTCTCATGATTTTTTTTAAAAAATAGTTAAAATCATGACAAATTTTGTTCAATACCAAAATTTATGAATTTCCCTGATTTCTCATGACTTTCCAGGCGGGCAGATACCCTGTATATGGTAGATATAATTGTTTCATGCCATAGTTAATTTCTTTTTGTAATAAAAAACTTTTGTATTAGTGTTTTTTTTTTTTAAAAAAATCTTTTTGTATTGAAGCTATTATGAAAAATTTTTTAAACTGATATGTGAGCAAAAATAGGTGCTATGCTTTCTTTGATAGCAGGACAGTAGTATAAAAAAAAATAAAAAAAACATGATAGTGCAAATTTAAAGCCACCTTCATATAAGTAACTAATAGATATTTCTTTAAATTCATTTTAAGAATTAGGTTATAGCATTTGGTGAAATAAAATAATGCAGTATAAGATAACACAATTCAACATAAATAACATTAATACTAGCTACAATCTTTAAAGCAGACTCTAAGTTGTTGTCTTTAGCTTTAATGCGTCAGATAACTAAAAAATTTTCTATAACTAAAATATACGTAAGAGTATATTTTTATGTTTTATATTATTTTTATTTCAAAATCTAATTAAAGCCTTATTGATGTGTACCAGATATACAAAGCCACGTTAAGTAACTAAGTTTTCTAATATGGGAAATTATATATATATAATACAAATTTCTACGTAACTCAAAGAATCATGGGGCAGATTTCCGTATCGTGGCAGAAAAATTGCCAAGTCTGGGCAACTTCCGGGGGCAGTGGCCAGCGAGCAAACTAAAAAAAATAACACAGAAAGCAGGGTTGGGTTTTTGTCATCAAAAACTGGTTTTTGACATGACAGTGGTAAAAACCGTCAAAAACCTACTGTTTTCTTTCATTTACGGCATATAGCGGACAATATATTATTTTCACATAATTGCCTTTATAAATGAATGTTGTAAATGATTGCTATTAATTTTGCAACTATATACGTGTATTCTTATTGAAGGATATACATTCATATGGAAATATTGTAATAAACTTATCGAAAATAGTGATACTTACTTTTATCATTATAGCTTGATATGCAAAGGATTCAAAATTTTGCACTTAATTGTTAGAAATAAACAAACAAACAAACAAACAAAAAAGCTTGAAACTGTTAATAAATTCAAGAACTAAAAAGAAGAATTTAAAATTTGGCATTTCTTAAATATTAGAAATAAGCTAAACAAAACTTTCAAAACTTGTAACTACTAACAAACTCTAAGTCAAGAATGACTTGACATTCTTCAGTAATGTAATATGCCAAACAAAATGATGCTTGGAAATGTTGAAAATTTTGTTTAGTATCCTAATATTTTACTTCAAATAGTATGTTTTGATATAATCATGTTGGGAAAATGCAAGAATCTGTTCTTAAATATCTTTTAACAACTTTTTTTCTAATTTTATTGCCCAAAAATTAATTAATTTTAAATTATAAGCAGTTAAACTCAAATAAAAATACAGTTTTACCAAAACTATGGGTTTTTGACAGTTTTTGACAGAGGGGTTTTTGACATGACGGTAAAAACCGTCATGTGTCAAAAACTTGCCAACCCTGACAGAAAGGGACCAACTCAAAAGGTATAATTCGTAGCCACACCTGGGCAAGCATCTACATGCTTTCATTAAAAAAATTCTGAAGTTTAAAATCTATTCGGGACCTTGGAGCTAATAGTTGGCGCGATAGATCACAACATGGAAATATCCGTGAATCTTGTTTCAAGGTTTGCGTTATAAAGATGTTCTAATGTAGAAAATCAGGTTTTAGTTTAAAAATTAATTTTAATAAGTTGAAAATTTGCATTTTATAATTAAAAAATTGATTTCTTTAACAACTTAATTTATGCTAAAGAAGTAAACAAACAACAGTTGTAAACATTCAACAAATCTGTTTCAGGCAAACACCATAAAAAGCCGATTGAAGGGCAAATTATGCACGGTGCGTAGCCAAATCTCTCAACAAAAAACAAGCACCTTTAAAGTACCTTTTAAGCACTCAAAATATATTTTTCAGTCCTTTATACATTAACAAAATGCAAAATAGTTTTCAAAGACTTTACATGACTATGATAAAATAACTAGTTTCAGACAAAGAATTCTTTTCTCCATTTTATTAGCCACTATAAAAAGATCAAGTTTTTCTGTTTGATTTCAGTGAGTGGAAAATGGTGTTTGGAATTGAGAATACCTTGCAAAATGCAGCAGAGTTGCACATGAGAGTGCAATAATCTCACCAAACACAGCTCAGTAAACGTACATGCAGACTCTCAAGTATTTCATTAAACATGTAACATGATTGGGTGCTATCATACGTTGCAGACCGATAGTAAGCCAAAATGGATTAGTGGTAGAATGATTTGTGAAAAAGTTGAATAGAACAATGTTAAAAATAAGCTTTTGCATAATGTGAAACCAAAATTGCCACAGTAAAGGAAAAATGCATGTTTTTATTAAATTCAAGTTGAAATTTAACTATGGACAATGATTTTTAAATTTGAATACAATTATAAGCCCTCAATTTTACAATAGCAAAATTAACTTTTTTAGACGGTTAAAAATATACAGAAATTTACCTGTCATAAATGATTTTTATTTGAAGTGACAATTTTTGAAAATATTTTCTTACTTTATCATATTTTTGTGTTGATTTTCTAATATAATTTTCACAAATTGTGTGTAAATTTTCAGACCCTCAGCAATTATAGTTCAGAGAATGAGTGCAGAAATCCACAATGCCAAATTAAATTATCCATGTAATAGTGGCTACACTAAACTAAGAAATTAAAGAGAAATAAAATTGATTTTAAAGGGCAAGCACATCAATTATTTTCAAAGAATTACTACCTCATCTTAGCTTTTAACATTGTTAAAGTGGGCAAAATATCAACTATTGGCACATCTTCTCCAGATGCGACGGTGCTACTACCTCTAAATGTATGATCTTCTTTAAGGCACTTCATAGGTTTAACACTATCTACTGTAAATAAATCAGACGTAATAGTTGCTTTATCTGAAGTAATATTAGAGCCTGCATGAAAATGTTCTCTCAGTGCCTGTAAGCCTTCCGGTAAAGAAATGGAACGCTTCATAGGAAATAATTCAATTATAGTATTTGATTCTAAATATTTATCCTTTGATTCTCCTTTAGTTTCATCATTACTACAATGATCTGATATATTATTTAAATCTATAAGTTCACTCTCCGTACAACTATCTTGCTCCAGGCATTCATTCAGAAGCATTGTTTCATCTCTATCAAGACTACACGTCATTATTTCATCAGTATCAAGGTTACTGGGAAAAGTCATTGTTGCATTCATAGCACTTTCAGTTTTATATGGGACTTTTGGAATATGTGGATCAATAAGTTTTTCATCTAACTCAACAATATTCTCTGGCTTCTCATCGTGTGAATGCGATTTTTTTTCGTCATTTTCAACAATTAAACTTTTTTCTTTTTTTAAATTATTACAAGAATCAGAATTAACATTTTTACAATCTGATATTTGAGAGATGTTAGGATCAATTTGAGACCCATTTCTTTCCAACACATCATCCCTCACAGTAAGACCGTCCTCTTCGGAGCATTTATTATTTAAAATTATTGAGTTTGATTCCTTTGAAATTGATTTTTGACCATTATCATTTACTGTTTGTATAAGGCATGCAGAGTTAGAATCATTCAGTATGTTTTTAACATTTGTTTCAATTGCAGGTTTTTCAATCACAATATTTTCAACTGATTTTGACAACTCCTCAGTTATTAAATAGTTTTCAGGATCAGATTTGTGTGTGAGACTTGGAGTGTTTATTTGTGTACTTTCATCATCAATTGGATCATCAATTTTATTATCATCATTGGACTTTTTGGATAATTCCTTAGGTTCGTGAAAAGGTGCTCCATGATCTTCGTCGCTTTCAATGCAAACGTCAAAATAAGTGTTTACAACTCTTACTTTATCGTCATGGGTGTAAGAATCACTGTCACTTTCATCAAATTGGGCAATTTTTTCAACCCATTCCTCCTTTGACAAAGAATTACTAAACTTGTTTGTAATATTTTGAGGTGAATCTATGGCTTTCAAACCTAATTGAGAAGATGATATTATTGGAGTTGTTAAAGAAATCAAAGTTTCATCACTAGCAATACTCTCAACGATACTATTCTCATGTTCACTTTTTTTACGTTTTCTTTTAGCACTATGAATATTTTTCTGTTTTGGTTTTGTAGTACTCACATAAATTTTACTTGCGCTTGGTAAAGAACTGTACATACTTTTCGGATGATTTCGACTAGAGTTTGGGCGACTAGACATTTTAGATTTGGTTCTTTAAAGTCTATAAATACAAATTAGCACTTCCATTATAAATATCAAGTAGCAATGATTGAGTATTATTTAAAAAGAATGACGAGCTACGCTCTGTATTTTCAAAGTTTTAGAAGTAAACATAAGAGTAGAAGATGGCGCTCCACCACACATTTTATGGTCGTTCTGTTTGCTTTCAATTTCACTTCTGTTTGTTTGATCAATTACATCAATCACCATGCAATCAATATCTTTGAGGTTGTTTTCTGAAGAGTCATTCTCTTTGTCTTCGATTTGCGCATTTTCAATTGCCATTAAAGGAGATTAGAATTTGATTGGATAAAATATAATTTCTAGTGAAAGAGGCATTATTCAAGTTCTCTTTTTCTCACTAACGGGATCACACGGTTCTCAGGAGAGCACCGAAGTCACTGTCTGTGGTCAGTGTGTAGATTGGTGCCCACTTTGCTCAGCCTGTGATGAGACCAGTACCGTGTGATAGAGACAACACGTGTTTTATTTTGCTCCAAAATTATGCCCTTAAGAACTGCTCGAGGCGGAAAGGTGTTACCACCTAGCCGCCCTAAAACTCCAGAAATGAAATCAGATGATGAACTAATCGATGTTATTGAATACTCATCATTCGAGGAAGCCTTAGCAGCTATCAATGTTCCACCGAGTTTCCAACCATCTGACTCAGCCATCGACCTGAAAGAGTTCTACTCCAAATTTTCTATCGACGAACTGATTTCCCATGGAAATGTGATTTTTGATTTCATTAAAACTTGTGACTATGGACAAATCTACGATCATTTCAAAAGACTTGCGAATACTGCTAGACTAGTCTGCAGAGAAAAAATGAGACAACTAAAAAATCAACCAGAGACCGAACTGAAGGAAATAGTTCCCGAGACCACCCCTACCCCTGCGGTAGAAAAAACGGAGCCCACGGATTCTGAATGCAACACCGCGCACCGGACCTCCTGCTAAAAAGAGGAAGAGGAAAAAGCCAGCTAAGATTGAAAATAGACCAGAAAATAGTACTTCATCATTTGATTCCCCACCTCAGCCGGAGATAATAACAAAGAATCCAGAAGTGATTAAAACCCAACCCATTGTGACTCCACCTGCTGTTTCCAATAATTACTCCAGAAAAAATAAAACCTTGATTCGTGGACTTAAAATAGACTCTGATATCCAAGAAATAGAAAAATATCTCAAGGATTTTGAACTTAAACCTAAAAAAATCATCCAACTCAAGAGGAGGCGAGGCCAGGAGTATATGCTCCCATGGGCGGATCGTGAATTTGTGGGGCCCAGGGCTGAAATTACTTAGGGGCCCTAATAGCCATTTTGTCAAAAAAAAAACTGTTTTCTATAGTGATGTAGAACTATCGAAAACAATAAAATAATTTTATTTATTTTTTATTTATTTATTTTTATTTGTGTATTCAAACAGCAACTGTACAACATTATTGCAAAAGAAATTGACAGGTTATGTGTAGTTATGTTATATAAATTATAAAGCAACCTTTCTGCATTTTTGTGTGTGTGGTTCGACATTGTTTTGTCCTATATTTGTTTTCATCCTGGAGAAAGAGCGCTCCACTTTACAGCTAGTGATTGGCAAAGTTAAAAAAATCTTTAAGATAGTATAGCAATTTGGGAAAACATCAACAAGTTTCTTTTCATAAATTAGCATAAAAATTTCACTGCAAGAGGTGTAAGACTCTGGCTTAGACTGAATAAGATTTTAACTGAATGCACGCATTCACTAAATGCATTCACTACGTCATCTGGATAATAATGAACAATATTACATACACTTTCCAGATTTATGTTTTCCATATTTTTGTCTTGCAAATCCATTAAAAATTTGAATTTCTTGCTATAAATCTCATAGACTTGGCTCCTTTTATTTAAACCATAATCAGTTTATCCAACTCAACGTTTAGCGTGTCACTTTTAAATTTTTCTGCACCGTATACTGAGAATTTATCTGAAGACTTATCTGAAACTTTTGGAGTGATGTGTCTCTTGTTTATGTCATTGTAGTCTATTCCCACACTAGTACTTAATTTTTTTAGCTTTCTCTTCGTATTTATTAAGCTTCTGATCTGATTGGTGTCTTATGTTGTTCACGAAGTCTTTCAATGACACAATTAACTTATTGCCTTCACAAATACCTAAACCAGGACTCTGTATTTTTTTATTAACTAAATTAAATGCCTCTTTCCGGAAATCAACTTTCTCATCCTGATTTTCGCTGAAACTTTCGAAAATTTTCATAATGTCCTAATAATAATTTTTAAAGCTTTGACAGCATCATAATGACAAGACCATCAGGTCTGGCTTAAACTTTTTAACGTAAATTTGAGTTTTGTTTCACGATTTAACAGTTCCCACCTATGGGTCGAATTAGAAAAGAAAACGTATATTTTTTGCACTACTCCAAAAAAGTTCACAATTTCGGTTGCAACCTTAACAGATGCTTCACCAACTAGGTTAAGGGAATGCGCAGCACATGGCACATAATTCGCGGATTTATTTTTTTGTTTTAGTAGCGCTTATACACCATTGTAGTGACCCGCCCTATTAGCAGCATTCCGTTCGATAGACGCGCACATGCATGGGTTGATTGATCTTAGGGTTTCCAACCTTATAATATTTTTTTTTTTAATATTAGATATTTTTTTTAATTCAAAATAGCACCTATTGTTTTCAGTGAGGACTGGGGCCCTTTGCATCTACGGGGCCCTGGGCTGCAGCCCAAAAAGCCCTTAAGTAGATCCACCCCTGTATGCTCCTCCCCCTCTATCATGTGATCCAATACGATTCAAAACCTAATAGAGAATTTTTGGAATTTCTAACATTCTTTATGTATGGGTTTACACGAGCAATGCCCGGGAGCCCCAGGCACTTAGGGCGCACTTGGAAAACTAACTTTTTTATAAATTGTATTAAAAAAACTAAGAATAAACAACATTGCCTTATATATTTTTTAAAATAAATATATCCTATTGTAAAAAGTGTGAATTTTTTTCTACAAATAGAGATTTACTGTCATGCAAACCGAAATCAATTTTTCTACGTTTCAATGAAAATTTCAGGTACTTGGGCAATGAAAGATGTTTTAATAACTGCTTAGATTGAAAAAAATTATTCATACCTTTCGAATTTTTTAAATTTGTAATGCCTTTATGTTTATTTAATTTAATTATTTTAATTAACTTCCATTCATGGATTTGAAAATTATTTTATTATTTGCGGATTACAACTGGTTAGCATCTCAAAATGTTTTTTTAAACGGTTTTAGAAGGCGAATTTCCTCGTTTTAAGCACTGCCGAATAAAGTTAATTTTAAGGTCAGATATCGTGCCGTTTGTTAGCATTGAAAAGTGTCTTCGAATTTCCTTGTTTTTAACACACTGCTTAAAATATACATAGTGTACCCCCTAATTGATCTATAATTATTTCCTGTGGTAGGGTACACTATTACCCTGTAATATAATACCTGGTCCAATTTAAATATTATGGGTCAATATAAAAGGTCTGATATCGCGCCTTGCGTAAGTTAACCATTGAAAAATGTCTTTGAATTTTTAAAGCATTTTAGAACGCTAATTTCTTCATTTTAAGCTTCTCAGAACACTTATTTCGCATAAGGCATACATAGTAAA